TAATTAATAACTCGGTCGGATGAATTTACCATACGCTCATTACCGTAATTCTACTGTGTATTATAATGTATAATTATGTGTGCGTGTGTGCGTGTATTCTCGACAAGGCGGGGTACCTTCGTGTCGAGCTTACTGTATACTCTCGCTCCCTGTACCACGTCTTCGTAAGTATAGAGCAGTGGTTCTTAACCTTTTTCGAATGACGGAACACTTAACATTTTACAAGATTTTCGCGGAACACAACCGTAAAATAAAATAGTAGTACATCCATTTTTAATTTTTTAATATATTAAACAATGAATGTATAGCATAAAATTGTTTGTATGCCATACATGTTAGTGTTAGTCACTAAAAAATAATAAAATAATAAAAAGAGTTAAAAAAAATTTAAAAATTTGAAATCGAATACTTTGTATGAGATATTTGTGCCTGATGATTTTTACAGATATTTTCAATATCTGGCCCTATGTACGATATTGCTACTCTCATTTCCTCTTCAATATTTGTCAGCCTTTCTCGTTTCTTTGTTTTGATATTCGTCAGTGTTGAAAATCCAAGCTCACATAAGTATGAGGTTGAAAATTGTAATAATATTGAAATTGCTTTTTCAGAAATTTTTTTAAATTCGGTTTGAACTGAAATCCAACATTCTTCTACTGTTATTTCGGAAAATTTTATTTTTAGAGTTCGATCTGTTGTTAGCGTTATGAATTCTTCCTCTTCTTCTAACGTAAATTCATAACTTGACGTGTTGATGGTAGAAAATGGATTTCGTATCCAATCATACTTTTCAATATTCAATTCAGGAAAGTATTTCGTGATTTTTTTCTTCTAATAATGCTAAATGTTCTGTTATAATAGGAATTATTTCATTATTATTTTTAATTGAAGGAAACATGTCTACCGTATTTTTTTTGAATTATACGCGTTCTCCAAAAAGATATTTTTTTTTAAATGTTAACAGTTTATCCGTGGATGTAAGAATATTTTCGTTTTTACCTTGCATACCAGCATTTACACTATTTAATGTATTTTATAACTTTTATTAGTGCAGAAAATAAAATTGTCAATATCTATACGTATGTTATCGCAGTATGGTGGTGATTATCGTATAATATAATAATAATAATGTATATTAATATATTATATAGTATACTGACACATTATATTATTCGAAAGTTAACGATAACGTTTTTGTGTACAAAAATAAACCAACAAAACCTAAAATGATTCTATTTTGAAAGAATTTAGAATTTTTTTTTTTCACTGATTTTAAAATTTTGGCGGAACACTTATACGAAGTCCACGGAACACAGGTGTTCCGTGGAACACCGGTTAAGAACCAGTGGTATAGAGGGATATTATGTATATATTATATTCCCTCTCTCTCTCTCTTTTTATATATTGATATACAGTGGAAAAAAAAATATATCTATTGTTAACTTTACTTTAACTTTTTAAACTAATTTATCACGTGAATGCCCCCCACCCTTGTATATCATACTTTCATAACCATTTCCAGCTGTATATTGAATAGCTTAAAATTTACTGGAAACCACGATTTAAGATAGCATGGTTACCCAACGAGCTATGATAAGACGGCATTGGATTTAAATCGGACCCCCGGTTCTAGTGGACTATTTAATAATTTATAAAATAATATGATCATTATCTATATTTTTGTTGTATATAGGTATAACATAACAGTTTTTATTAGTTTTAATTTGAACCGATTTGAGCGCTGTATGCGGGGACCACCATCACGTGACTTTTCGATTCCAACTGTATGCAGTGTGATGACATTTTTCTAATAGGTCGATGGGTAACCATTCTATCTTAAATCGTGCTGGAAACCAAGTCTTATTGATTTTGTACGTAACATATTTCCTTTTTGTAAGGACGCTCTTCGTCTCAATTACTAGACACCACGAGCCGTTAAAACAGTCACCTACTACACCTATGCACAACATTCGGATGTCGGGCGGCGAGACGAGACATTGACGGAGAAAAGTTCGTGGTGAATTTAATTACGGACGAAAAACGGTCGGTGTAAAGTTTCGAAATCCTTATCAGCCGGAGCTTTCGAACATGTACTGACCGTAAATCACGTGTACTCGCACTTGTACGGGTGGGCGTGTGTGTGCGAGTGTGTGCGCAAAGTCACAAAACGTAGACGGTTTCCTCTCCAACCGTTTAGCATTAATAGCGTCTCCCAAAGTTAGTTTGACTGTGCGCCGCAGTCATAATAATATAAATTATAAACGAATAATAAAACGCCACTAATTTCGCGTATACCTATACCTTCACACTCGCTCACATAGTAGGTATGTCTAATATTATACGATTTGAATTCATTCGATTAGCGTGTATAATTAATAACTCGGTCAGATGAATTTACTACGCTCATTACCGTTGTTTCGCCACGGCAAATCTTACGATTTTTGCAGCTGTTTGCCGTGACTCGCATAGGTGATGAGCAAAGGGTGACCAAATAAAAAGTGTGCCTACCTCCTTTACGAATCATATTGGAAGATGGCAATATACAATATGGTGTAGTGGACGTCTCCACAATACTAAACTAATTATACGGTATTTCTTAACTAATAATATGATAATAATAGTTAATGTTAGCGTCGTGTATAAGTTAACACGCGTTAAAACAAAAAATAATAATTTGGACAGCAAATAATAATAATAAGTGTATAATATGACCCCCACCACCTCGGCACAGATCACTGGTCCGCCTGGTCCTCGCTGGAAATGCGACAGCGTCTTCCTCGTCACCAACCGATATAGGCACCACTGCGCAGCTAAACGGCGATCCAACGTCGACACGTATAATTAAACAATTCGAGGTGGCGGTGACACAATCTGTCAAACTCCGACCATCTCGAAGTTTTCGACAGTATAAAATTGTGCAACTGTGCACGTAATAATAATGGCTTCAGCCCGATGAAATATTAATTGTAATAATACACAAAATCTGATGACCACGAGGTCGACCACCTTAAAACGACGCGATGCGAACCGGCGGTACGTAATCCGCCGAGTTCAAAAGTTGGCAAAAGACAAAAAAAAGTGTCTCGTCATGAGAGCCGTGGACACCGGCCGGCGTGTGGACACCGTGGGGGGGGGGGGACGCCGATTACGCGACTTAGGCCCGGTTTTTCAATCATCCATTTATTCGTCAGATAACTATTCGTCGAATAAACTTATTCAGCAAATAAACTTTTGAATAAACTAGTAAGTGTTTTTCAATACAAATTTATTCATCGAATAGTTATTTGACGAATATAATTATTCGGTAGATAAATTAATTTGTGGTACTGATAGCAGTGATAGTAATAGTGGATTGTGGAACAAGTTGTATATACTTTTGTTTATGATTGGTCAACATATTCTTATCAATGATACTCGTATTATCAATGTATTATTATTATTAATATTATTCATTTTATTATTATTATATTTTCGATGAAATTATTAATTAATTTGTTGTTCATCGTAATTAGAAACTTGAGTTTTTGTTGTGTTGTGCTACGAAATGGTATCAAAAAATAATGAACTTAAAAGGGCAAGGGCTACTAATTTTTCATTCACCGAGAAAGAATTATTACTGAAATATGCTGTAGAGAATCAAAATATTTTAGAAAATAAGGAATCAAACGCTGTGTCTTGGAAAGATAAGAACAAATGCTGGCTTAAAATTGCTGAGCAGTATAATTCAGCTACATTAGGATGTGTAAGTTATGTGTATTTTGTGTTGTATACTGAGAAAAATCTAAAAAAAAATAGGAATCGCTTATTGGAGATAAAAACTTAATTTTGTACTGTTGTAGCCAAGAGATGCTACAAGTTTAAAACTAAAATACGAAGGTATAAAAAAGTTGTTGAGAGGTTCAAAAAGTGAACTATTTAAAACTGGTGGTGGTCCCAGTAAAACTGACTATACAAGTACTAGTGAATTGGAGAAACAGTTGTATGAAAGTATTCAGCTTTCAGTTGAAGGGTTACCTAGCCTCTTAGATTCTGATTGTAGTAAGTTAATTTCTAAATGTTCTAATTTAATGTAACCATATATATTATCAATTTTCATTAATGCAGTTCTACAAAGTGTCATTGGTCCAATTAATGTCGAAGAACATAATGTAATTCAAATAAGTCCTGAAAAGTTATCTGAATCAAGAGATAGTTTTAATGCTTATGAAATTGTTCTAGACAGTGAAAATAACTGTCTTTCAGTTAATAATGGTATATTTTTTTTTACCATTTTCTACAGTTTTGTGTTTAGTATTTGTTATATTTTTAACACTAGAAAAACAAATTTCAGTTCTGGATAATTTATGCGGAGAATCAGTATTAGATAATTCAACCATACTGTCTACCCAATTAGCTAATGAGTCAATAATAGACAATAGTTTAATTGTAAATCATGCCAGTACTTCTGGTGTATTGTGTAGTAATAATAAACAGTCTTGGTCTCCCATCGAATCCACTAAACTTTTAAGATCTACTGGAAAACACCAAAAACTAACAAGTAAAATATGTTTAATATTTATATATATATATATATATATATATATATACATATATACATATATTTGTACAATTAATATAATTTTTAGCAAACAACATGACAAGAAAGAATAACAGCCAAGCTTCAGCTAGTGATAAGTTTTCACTATTAGCAGGAAAAAAAATTGAATTGGTTGAATTTCAGAAATCAGTCTTGTTAAGAGAGCATGAAGAGAATATGATTTTCCTAAAAGTCAAACATGCTCTAGAATTGGAATCGTTAGAATTGGATATTGCTATTAAAAAACAGAAGTTGGATACTCTGAAAGAATCTAAAACTTAAAACTAGTCTTAACTAAAATTAGTTAAAATGTTATCCTTAAAATGTTATATTTTATATTATGTTATTTTTTATTTTAATTTATCCTGACCAGATAAGCAGGTGACAAGCTTTTCATTTTTTCCCTAATAATTACATATAGTTATTAAAAATGTACAAAGTATTCTTGCATTAGTTGTTGTCTTGCGTTTTCACCTTCTGGTTGTTGTTCTTCTATGTTTATGTTTTCGTTTTCTGGTAGAACTATGTCTAGTGCAGGTGGGTCCATATCATTATTATCACATGCTATGTTGTGTAAAACACAACAAGCTACAATTACAGCTTGAGTTGTTTCTAATTTCAATCGTAGTCCTAAGGATAATACTGGGAATCTTCTCTTGAGTACACCATATGACCTCTCCACTGGATTTCTTGTCCTGATAATTGATTCGTTGTACAATTCTTCGATATCATTTCGTGGGTTCAAGAATGGTGTTACCACATGGCGAGAATTAGCATAGCCACTATCAGCTACAATTAAACTGTTTCCCCATTTACCATTTATTAAGTTGTAATAAATCTGTGATTTTTTAAATATAGTCTGGTCGTGGCATGATCCTGGCCATCGTGCAACAACATCCATAATTTTCAAATTAGGACATGCAATGGTTTGAACATTTATAGAAAAATAACCTTTTCGGTTTCTAAAATATTCAGCGTTAGGGCCTCCTGTATAATTGTATAGTCATTAATAAATATTCAATACATTTTCAATATTAGTTATACAAATTACAATTTATGTATTAGGTACCTGGATTCTGAATTTTGACATGGGTGCAATCAATTGCACCAATTGTCCTTGGAAACCTAGCAATTTGGTAAAAACTTCTTTGTAATTTACTTATTTCCCTTTCTGTCGTTGGCATTTGTATAAACATAGGTCGAAGTTTTGCTATGGCAATACTGACATCACGTACAATCAACGATGCCGTAGTTTTACTAACCCCAAGAAAATCTCCAGAAGTGATCAAAAAATTACCAGTTGCATAAAACCTCAAAGCTAAAAGCAATTTGTTAATGGATGTCACTGCATGATTTCTAAAAAAAAAATTGGATTTTCATTAGTTAGCACCTTATTTTGTATGTGTGTCAAACCTAGATCACAAATCATAATTTTATAGAACAGAAAATGTAGTCGAAAATCAAAGTTTTCAAAAACTCTTACGAGTTTTTTTACGCGAAAACGGAGAGTTATAGGGCTACAGACATCGGAGATTAAATTGTTTATCATAATAAGTTACATCTATTGTATATTTTGAATTTTTAAAAAAAAAGAAATTCAATGTTTTTGATACTAAGTTTTTTTAAAAACTATTTTCGAAAACCAAGAAGTTCGATGAAAATCCAATATTGTAAAAATTTTAAATTCAAACGCTCATTAAAAATGAATATTGCTTTCAGATCAACTTTTTTTTTGGATTAAGGCGGGGACATTTGTGGGGAATCTTCTATCAACATTTTAGATTCTGTTTTTTTTTATTTATTTTTTTTTATTTTTTTTTTTGTGTCTGTCATCACCTTTTTAGGACAGTAAAAATGCTTGGATTTCCTTTAACAGTAACTTTTCTGATAGGAAAGTGAATCTAGTTGGTACTTTGGGGGGTCAAAAGTAAACATTTCCCAGTGTTTTCAAAAGCGACGTAAGGAAAAAACGGCAATTTTTACGCAAAATTTGACTCTTTTTGAACTGTTTACGGACATTGTCAATATAAATAACTGAATATTTCGGGAGGCAGTTATAGTAAACCAACTTACCTATCGGTTAATGAAGATATTTGGTCGTTGATGTGGTCTAAAACTTGAAGAACGACCACCTTTGAGATTCGGAATCTGATCCTAAAATCATGATCATCCCAAAGTGTCATATGATCAACTCTCATACGTATGGTGTATGTACGACGTTGGTAATTTAAAAATTCGATGATTTCTTGATCATCGTCTTCATAAAATATTCCAAATATATCCATTATATTTTATTTATAAAAAAATAAAATATAAGAAGTACGTTCTGGTTTGGTATTATTGTAATAATAACAAAATACAACTTTTGGTTATCACAGCACAGTTATACATTATGATAACACATTTATTCGTCGAATAACTTGTTATTTGGTCAAAAAAGTACCGAATAACTTATTCGTGGTTTATTCATCGAATAAGACTTATTCTGACATTGAAAAACCGGTATTTTGCTATTTTTTCTTATCTGTCGAATAACTCATGTTATTCGATGAATAAATATGATTGAAAAACCGGGCCTTAGAAAGCTTTTGGACACTGTATAGATTCGGCCCGAATCATTCGGCGGGAATTTGGCCGAGTTCGAACAACCGTCATTCTACTGTGTATTATAATGTATAATATGTGTATGTGTGTGTGTGTGTGTGTGTGTGTGAGTGTGCGTGTATTCTCGACAAGGTGGCAAGTCGAGCTTACTGTATACTCTCGCTCCCTGTACCACGTCTTCGTAAGTATAGATGGATATTATGTATATATTATATTCCCTCTCTCTCTCTCTCTCTATCTTTATATATTAATATACAATGGAAAACGGTAGAAAGCACATTTAAGCGCAAGCGCCACGGTCGGTTTGGCGTTATAATAATAATATTATAATAAGTTATTGTTATAATGGTGTAACTGCCTCGCGAAATTATATTCTTTCTATTATTTATTACCACGCGACTAGTTTGACTTTTCGTTAAGTGATTGTTGAAATCTCCGAGGAAAACAAAATATTGTTCACTAACGCAAGCCATTTTATAGTACTTTAAAGTTTAAAGCTTGTTCGATAGTGACAAACGATTTTTTTCTTATACTGATGTGTTCAGTGATATCAGTGTCAAGTGTAACAGCTAGATGGTTATGGTTTCAAACAACGATTTTATTGTCATTTTTTTTTCTGTTTTTTACTGGAATATGCTGGCCTTACGACAAGAGCTAAGTACTACTTGAATTTCTGTTACCACTTTTTTATTGGTTTTTTTTAGTATGGTTGTAGTATTATTATTATTATGATTGGTTTCGTGATTGTGTTTTTCGATTATTATCTCATTGTCGTCTATTTTGTTTACATAGAAACCATTATGTTTCATCGAACCAAAAAGTAAACGCACTTTATATTTTCATTTATTTATTAATACTGTAAAAATAAATTGTCTGTTCGCTAGATTGTTTTTTATTTTTTTAATTAGGTATTTTATAGCTCTGTAATAATAATAATGGTGTATTATACATTATATATTTACTATTTATTTACCAATGCACATAATATTTTTTTTAAATTAAATGTTATGATAAAATATGTATAACTTATTTGGTTTCATAATTAATCATGTTGATATTTATTTATTTTTAATTTTGTTAATATTTGCATTGTATTTAACCGTGATAATAGCTAAAATATTTATTGAAAATTGTTAGACAGGAATAGACAAATATGGTTAAGCCATATCGATATATTTAAAATACAAAATGTAAATAGTTATTTAAAATAGTGTACCTGTCTACCAATGCATGATAGTAATTTTTTTTTTAAATATAATTGAAATATAAAATACAAAATAAACTATATTTATATTATTATGTAATCATTGGTGTAATACAATATAGGTACACATATTTAAAGTGACTAAAACATTTAATATTATATGAGATATTAACTACAACTGAAATACAAATAAAAAAAAAATACTATTCTATCAAGTAATCATTTTATTTTAGTAAATTAATTATTTATATTTTGTAAATAATGGCATATTTAAAACGGGCTCTTTTGTACAGTAGGTACTGAGTGTACTTCATCATAGAGTTAGTATCAATTGAGTAAATCTAAACTATCAACACTTACAAAAAAATAAATACTTTCAATGTTGGTATATGAACGATATTTTTCTATTGATATATGGACAAATTATGACAAACATGAAACATTGTATTAAATAGTGTTTTTAGATAAAATATTTATGGTTTTTACCTTAACACGTAAGTTATAAAAAAAATATCAAATATTAAAAATACCCATTGCACAAAATAAGCAAAAATATTTTTAAAATACATAATATCTAGTCAATGCTTAGACGAATTTTTGATAGGAATGTCGAGTCTTTACTGTAATTCATTTTTTGAGTATTAACCAAAAAAAGGTGCTCTGCTGTACAGTAGGTTACAAGAGGGTCACTGTATAATGGATAGTATTAAATTTGAATTCAATGATATAATATCATTGTATAAGAAAAACGATTCTGAGCGGAGACGGTATGTCAGTCTAGGTATAAGAAATATTATTTACTTATCTATCGTATTAAAAAAAAATTACCTCAATTAGGTACCTATAATAAATTCCAAGTTAATCATATCACAATATCCAATAGGTACTTATATAATGCGTTATACGTCAACAACAAACCCTGATACTATCATAGTCCATACTCCATAGATATATAATAGTGTACCTACTTTAGAAGTTTCAAGTACACACGAATAATATTACATAATCACAACAAAATAACTAAAATAGTTATTCTAGGTTTTTTTTATGTAATTTCATCCAAATTTGAACTAAAATGACTATAAAAATAAACTGTGATTATCTATTTTTTAGATTTTTTGGTAACAGAATTAACTACTTACGTGGAACCTTGTTTTAAATTTTCAATCCTTACATATAAAAATTGAACATTTTATACATTTTTTAACTACAAAATAATTATTCAATTTTAAATTTGATAAATTTTGTCAAAATTCGATCTGTAAATGCTTAGAAAAAAAAATTGTGCTTATATATTTTTAATATTTTTCAACTGATATTGTAACAATATAGCAGGAGCCTTGTATTAAATTTTTACACTTTTTGGCCCAACAGATAAAACTGATATTTGTAGAATAAAAAACTAAAAAAATTGGAAACTGAAAATGTCCGTAAACAGCTCTAAAAGAGTCAAAATACTTTCAAAATTGTATGCTGTATAGGAAATGCTAATATAAATATTCTGTGAAATTTTCATGTATCGACAGTTATTTGGTTTTGAATTAAAATTAAATAAGAAATTGCTGCATGAGAAATCGTGTGAACCAATGTTGTAAAAATTTGAATTTTAAACGCTCATAAAAATTAAATGTGACTTTCTTATAGACATTTTTTTTTTGATAAATTTAGATAATCTTATAAGGAATCTTGTATTACATTTTAAAACCTTGCCAACATATTTGACTGCCCAAAGTACAAATAGATTCACTTTCCTATCAGGAAAGCTACTGTTGAAGAAAATCCAAGCACTTTTACTGTCCTAAAACGTGATGACAGACACAAAAAAAAATTAAAAAATTAAAAAATTAAAAATTAAAAAAAAAACACACATCATTGTAAAATCAATACATTCATCGTTTCACTCAGAATCTAAAACAAAATCGACTTGGCCGAAATTATTTTAGAGTAAAAATGTACGGTTTCTTGTTTTCCCCGGTTATTATGAAAAGTAGGTAATTAGAAGTTTTTTTTTCTTTTGATTATAAGTACCAACTAGATGTGATTTGATGCTAGAAATTCAATGTTCAAAATTAAAGCATTTTTACAAAAAATAAAATTCACATCGTTCAAAAATCTATACATTTATCGAACCGCTGAGAATCTAAAATACGAAGATACAACATTTTGACGGAATACGATTTCAAAATGTATTTAATATTTAAAAATTTCAATTGAAAATAATTAAAAACGTATTTAATGTGTTTGACATGCATACATCCATTTTTCCCAATTCTACTAATATAATATAGAGTTAAGATATTATGCCTGGCAAATCGTCGACATTATATTCGACAGTTTAAATGTTGCAAATAGTTCGCCGAAACTTGTGATTTATATGATAACACGGGTTTATAGACTTCAGTATATTATTTAAGTCAGGTCTTAGAAGTGATGAGCTTTTTACGACTTCAGAGTTATGTATACAGATAATATTATGGTGCATCGAGTTTTTGCGGTTAAACAGTCGTGGGTAGCATTATTTAAACGTATCACCGTCGACTAGTCGAATAATTGATGCGTTTCGAATTTTATAACCAAACATATTATTATGAACTCTGTTGTTTAAATAAAAATGTATCACTATAATAGTATAATATATTATATGGATTTCAATTATATTGTCGGACAAATAATATATGCTGTTGTTCGTAGAAATATTAGTCGAAGAGTGTTGCTGCTTTTCATCGATATTATTAAATATTATACTATTATAATAGACATAATATAATATTATCATATTGTAACACTGTCGTTATACGAAGGTTTGACGTCAATGTGATCTTACACGATGTGGACAAGGAGTATCGATTTTTTAACCATCGTAGCTTTCGTGGAATTTTCCTAGTATGGTTTTTGAGTAGTTCTCCGAACTGTAGCTGTTAGGTGTTTACATTTGACTGGGAGGCGAGAGTTCGAAATATTTGTGTAGGTTCATCATTTGGTCGGGTGGCTATTGGTTACATTGTATTGTCAGGGCCCAGGGGGAGGGGGTGGAGGTGCTATCCCGTAATTTATTTAGAGGGTGCGAGTATTTTTTTTTGAAGTTATACTTCTTTACGCACGGTAGTGAGGAAAAAAAAAAGCGAACGGGCGGCGCGTACGAACGGGCGGCCGTACGAACGCGAAAGCGTACATGTCCGTAAATAAATAAATATTGTCATGGTAATGTTGTTTAATTATATATTATAATATATATATGTATATATCTCTATATATAAAACACTAAGCTGATTGACTGCTATCAATGCACAGCTCAAACCATTGGACGGATCTGGCTGAAATTTGGCATACAGATAGCTATTATGATGTAGACGTGCGCTAAGAAAGGATTTTTCGAAATTCGCATTTTAAATAGGTGCTCAAACAGGGACATTGAGATTCAAGATAGAAATTGGAAATTTTATTTTTATTTATTAATAGTTACCATTGGTTACAGTC